CTCTCTCTCTCTCTCTCTCTCTCACACACACACACACAAACACACACACACACACACACACACTGTAGTTCTCCACAAGCTGCTCTGTTTGATCACATTATGCCTGCTGCCCAGACCGTTGCCTTCCTCCTTGCCAGATCTGGCACATGACCCTTCCTCGAAGCTTTCTGTGGAACCCGATGCTTAGCACATATGAATTTGGTTATCTGTTTACTGGCTTCTAGCCAGCAATGAGCAGCTTGGGAACAGGAACTATGCTTCTTCAACTCTTGGCTTCCCTAGGGCTGGACACGAATAAGCACAAATAGATGGTGAGTGGGCACTAGGGGGAGCAGCGCGGAGGCCCCTGCCTGGGAAGGGTGAGAGTCTCCCTGGTGCCCTCTGCGAGGCACAAGGCGGGGGGCAGAGATGGAAGAAGCTCAACACAGAGCTTTAGGCCCATTGCCCTTGGGCGTTGGTGCGGGGACCCCCTGCTGCCTACTCACGGGCAGACACTGGCCGGACTGCAGGCCCTGCAGTAATTGCTCTCCAAGGCGACCTGCCCTCTGCCAAGACAAAAGGGGACTGTCACCGGGGGCACCACATTTAGAAGACCAGCGAGCTGTAGCTGAGCAGAATAGTTGGGGGGTGGGGGGCTGGACACTACTAGGAGGCCACTGAGAATAGGACCTAGGTCTGAATCCCACCCCCCCACCCCCCGCCCCACATTCCCAGACACCAGCACAGGGCCTGGAACAGAGGAGGGGAAATTGAATACGGTGGAACTTCGAGGCCAGGCTTGGGACAGAACCGGAAAGGTGCGTGGAGGAGGGTCCCCGAGCCCTCACCGTGGAGGCCCTGCTGAGTAGTGGGGTGCAGCCGCTGGGCTCCAGGGCACAGACCGATCTGTTGTCGTGGGCGCCTCGTGTCTCCACCAACAGCATATCATCCTTGAGGGGCCCAAGGGAGTCTGGAAAGGGTGAGAGCAGAGTCTTGGGTGAGACCCAACCTTGCTGGAGGCTGCCACTTGCCCCCCACCCGTTCCTGTGCCTGACCGTCACCCCCCAAGAGCTGGCCCTTCCAAGGGTGACCCCTATCACGATGGCCCTGCTCCCGCCTTCTCCAGGCTTCACTCACCAACCCACAGGCATTCTTGCAGCTGCAGCTTCTCCCAGCTGCTCACCTGCTGAGAAGGGGCCAAGGTCAGGGGCACAGGAAAAAGCAAGAGCCAAGGCCATAAAGAAGAGAAGGACAGTAAGGGGAGGCCTGTGAGGTTGGGGGTGGGGGGGGAGTCTGCACTCTGGATCGAAGGCAGATCGGGGTTCAAGGCTGGGTGATCAGGAGATACCTCATTTTTCTCAGCCTTAACCTTGTGAGGGTGTCTGTGCTAAAGGGCCTTATGACCCTAAATGAGCTCTTTTCACGTCTTTACATTCCCTTCTCACCTAACCACCTTCACCCAAGAGGCCTCATCTGACTACTCCACTCGAAACTGCAACCCCAACCGTCCTTTATCGTTCCCCACCTTTCCCATAGTATTTATATACAATTTTAACATAGCGTGTAGGTCTCTCGTCCGCCTTTCTCTATTAGAACATAAGCTCTGTAGGGTGGGAACATGTACTGGTTTTATTCACTACTGTGAAGTAGTTACTATGATCATCCCCATTAAACAGCTGAGGAGACTGACATTCAGAGAGGTAAAGTGACTTGCCCAGTCCCATGGCACTGCTAAAGGCAATAGTGGAACTCCCAGGGGTAGCAACTTTGCTCCAGTGACTTAAGGATAAAGTGGATCCAGAAGACAGTGACTTATCTGGGAAGGTCCACCCTGGATCCTGCCCCTAGCCCAGAGCTCTTGTGCCCCCCTCTCACCTGGACACAGAGGTTGGGGTGGGCATTCAGCAACGGCAACTCAACTGCCTTCTGTGGAAAAAGAGTAATGGGCGGGGTCAGGAAATACGGCCCCCTGGGCTTCTGCGTCCTTCCAGGAGCCTCCCACCGCTTCACTTACGTTGATAGTGACATTTGCTGGTGGCAGCAGGGGGACCAGCGACTGGCAGGGACCCCCGCCTGGTGCCTGCCAGCACAGAGTGGCCTCAGCAGGCAGTGAGCAGGGCGCATCTAGCCTCCAGCCCCTCGGGGGCAGCAGCTGCAGCCGGGCCACACGCCAGAGGTTCCGGTGTGCCCGGGGGTCTGCAAGGAGAGGGCGGGGTCGCTGGGCGCCCAGCACTCCTCCACCTCACCGTTCCCACCCTGGCCCCAGCCCGGGTTTGCTCACCTTCCCTAAAGGGGCAGATGCTTGTCCTGACCGAGTCGGGCTCTAGCGGCCACACCTGGGAGAGAAACAGGGCTCTACAAGTCAGTTCAACCCAGCTGACCCGGCAGGACCCTCGCCTCTACTAGGCACGGATATTTCATAAACACTGTCCGGTCTTTTTGCCCTTTGCCCTAGAGTTGCACACATTTATTCTTCCAGCAAACCCGATGCCAGTGTCTGGCGACATCTTCATTCAACAGACTTTTAATGAGTACCTACTATGTGTCTTAGCACTGTGGTAGGCACCAGGGACATTGGTAATTAAATCCATGATCACTTTGTGTGAACCTACTATGTGCCGGGTACTGTGCTAGGTGTTAAGGACACATTCATTTATTCTTTCTCTTTTTTTCTTTCTTTTTTTTAAATTAATAATTTATCTTTTTTTCATTTACATCCAAGTTAGTTAGCATATAGTACAACAATTTCAGGAGCAGACATTTATTCTTTTAATAGAAAAAATATATATACTCTTCTGTGGAAAAAGAGTAATGAGTGGTGTCAGGAAATATGGCTCCCTGGGCTTCCACTTCCTTCCAGGAGTGTGTGTGTGTATATATATATATATAATGATCATCCCCATTAAACAGCTGAGGAGACTGACATTCAGAGAGGTAAAGTGACTTGCCCAGTCCCATGGCACTGCTAAAGGCAATAGTGGAACTCCCAGGGGTAGCAACTTTGCTCCAGTGACTTAAGGATAAAGTGGATCCAGAAGACAGTGACTATATATATATATATATATATATATATAGTTTTTTTAAGTAAACGCTACCTGCAGTGGGCTTGAACTCCTGACCCTGACATCAAAAGTCACATACTGTATCAACTAAGCCAGCCAGGCACCCCAGTTCTTTCAATAGCCTTTTAAAGCATATCTATTCTTTGCTTAGCCCTGTGCTAAGCTGTAGAGTTAATACATTAATTTATTCAGCAAACTTTCAGTTAAGACCACCCACTAGGTAACAGGCATTGTGCTTGGCAGTAAGGACGTTTATATCACAGCAAACATTTCACGAGCATCTGTTATGCGTCCTGTCACAGTACTAGTTAGTAGAGTTTCATTCGTTCAATCCTTTAACAGGCTTAATTAGCATCCACTACATGCCAGGCATTGTGCGAGGCTCTGGGAGAGTTACTCAATTTGAATTAGATATTATTTCCTTATCTTCAAGGAAATTACAAATTCACAGTTGTAGTGAGGATAAAATGTGTATATAAATTGGGAGGGGGGGATGGGCATGGAGGAGGGCACTTGTGGGGATGAGCACTGGGTGTTATGGAAAACAACTTGACAATAAACTATTTGTAAAAAACAAACAAACAAACAAAAAAGCAAGAAATGACAAGTGTTGGTGATGATGTGGAGAAAAGAGAACCCTTGTATATCTTTGCTGAGTCTAAATTGGTGCAGCCATTGTGGAAAGCAGTATGGAAATTCGTCAGAAGATTAAAAATAGAACTACCATGTAATTGAGCAATTTTACATCTGGGTATTTATCCAAGGGAAATGAAATCCTATCTAGAAAAGATAACCTGTACCCCTATGTCCATTGCACCGATATTTACAGCAAGACATGAAACAACCTAAGTATCCGCGGATGGTGGATGAATGGTTAAATGGAATGGAATATTATTCAGCCATATAAAGAAGTGAATCTTGACATTTGTGACAAGATGGATGGATAGATCTCGAGGGCATTATGCTAAGTAAAACAGATCAGAGAAAGACGAATACCACATGATCTTACTTATGTGTGGAATCTACAAAAACAAAAAGCAGCAACAACAACAACAACAACAAAAACCCAAAACCAAACTCACGGATACAGAGAGAAGAATGGTGATTGCCTGAAGTGGCATTGAGGAGTGAACAAAATGGGTGAAGCAGGTTGAAAGATAGAAATTTCCAGTTGTAAAATAAGTCTTGGGAATATAATGAACAGCATGGGGACTGTAGTTGTGTATTTAAAAATTGCTAAGAGTACATCTTCAAAGTTCTCATCACCAGAAAACAGGTGTAGCTCTGTATGGTGATTGATATTAATTTTTTCTGGTGATCATTTCCCAGTATCTACAAATACTGAGTCCTTATGTTGTATACCTGGAACTAATAAAATATTAGATGTCATTTTTTTCTCAGTAAAGAAAAAAGGGGGAAAATGTGTATATAAATTAATAAATTGATCCCTCATTTATTGAGCATCTGTTATATGCAAGAAGAAACGAGACAGGTGTCCAAATAAGAAAGGAAGTGACAAATGGAAAGACACGAGTGCAGGAAGACTGGAAGATAGGAGAGGCCAGAGAGTTGAGGAAAAGTTCTGGGAAAGAGGTGACATTTGAGTTGGAAGGATTTGGTTGTACAGCAAAGAAAGGAGGGCATTCAGGTAGGGGGAATGACAGACGTTAATGTCAGAGGGAAAACAGATGGGACCTGATGACCATTTAGACACACAATCATGTATCTTTCAGAGGAAAGAGGGGCACCTGGCCGGCTCAGTCGGTAGAGCACGTGACTCTTGATCTCAGAGTTGTAAATTCAAGGCCCATGCTAGGTGTAGAGATTACTTAAAAATAAAATCTTAAAAAAAAAAAAAAAAAAAGAAGAAGGAAGAAGAAAGAGCCAACATACAGAAGCCTGGATACTTCCTTTCATAACAGCCCTATGACTATTGTTAGTCCCATTTTACAGACAGAAAACAGACTCAGAGAGCTCAAGTGACTTGCACGAGGTCACACAGCTAGCAAATGGCAAGAGTCAGGATTCAAACTGGTCTGAGTTCACAGCACGTGCTCTACTTTCCGGGGGGGAGAACAAAGAGACAATTGGAGGAGAAAGGGAGGTCTTCAAGGAGGAGGTGACATTTGAAAGGGGCCGTGAAGCATAAGTAGGAGTCCTGTGGAGAGAGCATCAGGAAAAGCATCCAGAGCCCGCAACGGGCAGAAGTCAGGACAGCAAAGGCCAGGAGAGGGCTAGTCACCCTAGGGAGCGATAGTTCCCACCTCAATGCAGAGTGTGGAGGATGGGGAGACTAGGAGGGTCAGGGCCATCCCCCTCATCAGTTCCCCAGTTCCCTTCCCCTGGCACCTCGCTGGGCTCTTCTCTTACCTGAATACAAAGGCAGGGAAATAGATCTGTATGGTTCAAGGGAATGGTTTGTGGCCCAGTCTGTGGGACAAGCAGAAGGGGAGAAGTAGGGGAGATGAGGAGCAGGAAGGCTGGAGGCCAAAGTCGAGGAAACCAGGCAGGTAGCTGTCCCCCCCCCCAATATTCCTTGCTTTGGGTGGGGGGCGCTGTGTCCCCTTCAAGGGTCCCCTTTGATAACGCACTCGCCTCCTTAGCATGGGCATCGGCCTACAGTGGGAATGGACTCAGGGACAGGGAGGCCTCACCAGGTTTCTGTGCCACCAGGGTTTTGTAGGGCCCTGGACCTGGTTCCAGTACAGGGAGAGGCCAAAGCGCTGCTCCTCAGAGACGTCCAGCACCAGGTGCACATCCTCACCGTCGGCAGACACATTGAGCCAGGGCAGGGCTGTGCGGGTGGGGGGGGGGCAAAGAGAGAGACTTCCGTCACCTCTTCTGCACACTGGAGCCTGGTCACACCCTCCAACTGACCCCTTAGAGTTCCTTCAAATCCCTGAGACTGGAAGGCCCCTAGATGAGTGTCCTCAACTCAGAGCAGACTTTGTCCCCAGCAGCCAGCCCAGTATCCTGACACAACTCTTCTCCCTCTGCACCCAGAAGGATCCTGCAACCACCGGAAGGTAAATCATCCTCTGCTCAGAACCTTCCGATGACCCCCCAGATTACTTCCAGGGCCTTTAGAACGGCTTGCAAGGCCTTCCACAATTCAGCCGCCCTGACCGCACTCTACCCGCATTTCCTGGTGCTCTTGTCCTTTAATCTAGTGCAGACCCCTGTCCTCTCTACTAATACGTAACCGCACCAGATACACTCCTGCTTCAGGCTCTGCCTCGGCTGTTCCCCCTGCGTGTGGAACCCTTTCCCTCAGACACCCGTACGGCTCCTCCCATACTTCCTTCGGGTCTTTGTTCACTAGAGTGAGGCCATGCCTGCCGGCTGCAACCCCCAACCTCCATCTCCCCCTCTCCCCTCCCCAAATGTTCACAACACTAATCACGCTAGCGTACTGTGTATTTCACGCCTTCATGTGTTTGCTGTGTCCCCCACCCATCACCCCTACCTTGACCCTGACTCCCAGCTAGAATGTCAGCTCTGTGAAGGCAGGGATCTTTGTCAGTTTAGTGTACTGATTTATCTCCAGTGCTGAGGACTATTCCCTGGGCAGAGTCATCGTACAATAAATATCTGCCGAATAGGTGAATCGGTGATTCAATAAAGACATGAAATGCATGATGTATATCTGTGTCCTCAAAGCTCTGGTGCTGAGTAGTTTCTAATGAATTCCCAAAGAGACAGGCCAAACTTAAGCTAAGGAACCAAAAGGGAAATAAGATGGAAAAAAATGTAAGAGCTCGGAAACATCACTGCTTCTATCTTGATCTGGGTGGTAGTTATGCAAGTGTATACATATGTAAAAATTAATTGAACTGGACTTCAAAATTAGTGCTCTTTACATACTTTCCTGTGTGTATGTTATACCCCAGTAAGAAAGAAAATACAATGCCAACAAAAACGAACAAAGCAAAAACAAAATTCAAAGAGTGCCTGGGAAACACCATCGGAGCCTTGACATAAAACCTTATTTTATGGTTTAATATTATTGTTATTTTGATATATGTGTGTATGTGGGAGTGGGGGTGCACCATAATCCTGACAATGCTTTTGGCCTGTAGATGTCCCTGGTACTGATAAATAAATCTGTTGGAAGAAGAGATTCACCTTCATATTCCCGATGCCTGGTGCAGAGTAGGAGCTACTGCAGTTCGTGTGTGATGAAGAAACGAGCCTGTGAGTATCTGGATTGTGGCAAGCCCAGGCCTGAAGCCACCCCCAAGGGTCCCTCACACACCAGACCCTGCCCCTCCCTCCTGCCAGCCTCAGCTGGCCATAGTCCCTACCCCAGCAGCTCTGGATGCTGTCGCGGACTTCCAGCCCCTTGCAGTCTGGGGAGAGATCACAGAAAAGCCGCCAGTGGGGTTGGGGGCCAAAGAAAGAAGAGGAGCAGACTGCCCCCCCGGGGAGCACTGGGAAGGGCTCCTTGTGCCCTAAATACCACCCCATCTATCCAGTGCCCAAAGCACCTTCCTCAAGCACTGGGAAGCACTGTCACCTGGGGAGAGGAGACAAAAGAGACAGACCCTGGGGAGGAAAGGAGCTCAGACCCCTGCCTGAGAGTGCATGGGACAAGGAAGGGGACGCGAGCAGAATGGCGGTGGCCAGAGAGGAAACAGACTGGGTGGGGCAGGACCCGGGGCCCCTGAGGCTCTGGCGCCACTTACCAGGCAAATGCTGTGTGAGGTTGAGTTCCTTCTGGTACCTGGGCTGAGTGTAGGACCAGATTCGCACCTCAGCCCCCAGAGCAGCCTCGAAGCAGTCAAATACTACGGAGCCCTGTGAGGAGAGGGGTGGTGGATGGCTGGTGGTACAGGGCTCAGAATACAGGCCAAGGGCTCTGAGCTCCCGTCCATGGACCACTCCACGCACCCCTTCCCCCAACCAATGACGCTATACTGTATAGCCTGAAATTCTCCCGTTAACGTTTCCTTTAAAGGCCCCCAATTCTAAACTAAAAAAAAAAAAAAGAAAGGCCCCCAGTTCTAAAGCACACCCCCCGCAGTGGCGGTGTCAGCAGGGCAGGGATAGGGGCCCTAGCTATTTGAGCCCCTGCGCCCAACCCTGCTGACCTGCCTGCATCATGTGGCCGAAGCTAAGGTGAGCAGAAGCCCCTCCCACACACAATGCTTCAGGGGACCTCACGACTGCCCTTTGACGTGGGCCAGCAGATGATTCTGTAATTTTCCAGGCGGGAGGATATTGGCTGGGAACTTGTGGGGGGGTGGGGTGGGCAGGGGAAGTCAAAGGGTTTGAGTGATCTGGCCCGGGGGGAGATACATCTTCCAAACACATGTGGCTTCCTGAGGTAGGGAGAAGCCCCAACACCCTGAGCCACAGTATGTACACGGGGCAGACGGTACGGCAGGAAGTCCGGAGGAGGAGATCCAACCCACAGACTTCCCCTCTCCAAGCCTCGGTTTCTCTCTATGGAAAATGAAGGCAATGATAATGCCTTGCTCACGGGTGCTTTTTTTTTTTTAAAGTTTGCTTATTTTGAGAGAGAGAGGGCAAGCAGGGGAGAGGCAGAGAGAAGAAGAGAGAGAATCCCAAGCAGGCTCCGCGCTGTCAGCACAGAGCCTGACATGAGCCTCGATCCCACAAACTGAACCATGAGGTCATGACCTGAGCCGAAATCAAGTCAGATGCTTAATCAACTGAGCCACCTAGGAGCCCCCATGGGTGCTTTTAAGGATTACAAGAGAAAGGGAAAAGTAAGCTTCCTGAGGCCCTTCACTGCTGGGCATTACACCAGGCGTTTTACGCATACCAACTCATCTATTTCTCACAACGGCCTTATGAAGTAGGACTATTCTTGTTCCCATTTTACAGACAGGAACACCGAGGCACAAAGGGCTGAACGGGCTTGCCCACAGCCTTACCAGAAACTGCACACAGAGCTAATGCGCACGAGAGCGCCCCATAGATGTCACGTTTCGAAGACGGCTATTGCTCTTACTACTATCATTTTGCATACCACAGGCTGACCAGGCTGCACAAGGGCAGCGGGCACTTGCACTTCCAGGAGAACGCAGCGGGCGGTGGGGTAGGCCTGGAAGGAGAGCACGACTTGGGCCTGGAGAAAGGCTGTGAGCAACAGGGCAGGGGACTGGTCAGGCCCAGGGGCCGCGGGCAAGGCCCGGGCAAGGCGCAGCTGGGCCGGCCATCTTCTCCTCACCGTTCCTAGGCTCCTCAAGCTCTGGGTCAGCTGCTCTTCCAAACTTTGCCTCACCGTCAGGCTCTTCCCAGTGCCCTAGAAGGACCCGAGAGCAAGGCCCAGGTCAGGCCCCAGCTCTGGGCTGGCTCTGGGCTCGGCTTCGTCCCAGAAAGCCCAGTGCTGGGAAGCAGGGGCCAGGCCTGGGGCTGGGGCCAGGGGCGTGTGGGTGGACAGGGCTACCGGGCTGCCCTGGGGGTCCTTTGGCCAGTGTTCTCCAGGAGAACGCCGAGGACGCGCAGGACTGCCGCAGGGGCTCCCCGGTCCTTGTGCCCATCCCGGACGCACTCACGTGTGCACACACGGTTACAGGATGACACGCTCACCGTGCACGGCCAAGTGGATGGCCACACGCACGCAGAGGTCACAGTCAGTCTCCCGGTAGCACCTCAGCACCAGCTCCGTCTGCAGGCGTGTGGGCACCAGCACGGGGCCTGGGGCGGACACGATGCCCCCGGGGAGGCAGAGCACGTCACCATCTGTGCGTGAAGGGCGGGGTGAGAGCTAAAGCTGTTCAGAATCCAGAGGTTAGTTGCGCCTGACACCCCCAGGGGGCCAAGGAGCTTTGGGCTCTTCCTGGGCTGAAGGTGGGTGGTGAGGGCATGCAACTGGAACATCCCCCCTCCCTTCCGCCAATCCGGGCAGATCTTTTCTCTTTAAAAGTCGGGCTACTCACCCCAGAGGTGGCAGGAAAGACCCTGGCGAGGAGGTAAAGACAAGTGAGAGTATGCCACCGAATCTTGCCACCTTTCCCTGCCTGAGATCCCCGCCCACCTTTCCGGGGCTCCTTGTTCAAGTCCCTTCCAGAAGAAGACAGGCTCCGCTCTTGCCCCCTCCCCATTCTTTTCGTATCCCATCAGCACCAGACAGACCAGCCAGGGCAGTTCTGGCAGTAGTGACAGTGACAGGAGCCAGGCCAGGGCCCCAGTGGGCCGCAGACTGAACCCTGAGCCTTCTTCAAGCCTCCCAGTTCCCCAGACTTACCGGAGAGCAGCGGGCAGTATCCTGAGGCCCCACAAGCCTCTCTAAAGAGAGGACCATGGGGCTCCGGCCCAGCGCCAAAGACAGCAGGAACCAGGGCACAGGCATCTTCCAGGTGCCAGAAGGCACCAGGGCCCAAGGTCCTGTCCTGCCCCCCCCAGAGGGGGGGGCAGACCCGGGACCCTTGTTCCCACTCAGCCCCAGGAGGGGCTGGACTCCCTCCTCAGCCTGGGGTTCCAGTCCGGGCTTGAGCACTCCCTCTCCTGGGCGTCCTGAATCCCGTCCCAGACTCAGCCAGAGTGCTTTCGCTTTGGCTCCCGGCAGGCAACTGGCTGTTCCCGCCCCGCCCTGTCTCCCTCCCTGTCCCTCCCACCAACACCAGGCCTGGGAGCCAGCACCCTTGGACTGGGGTGGTGGCCTCACCTCCTTCTCTCCCTCTCCTCCTCCTCCTCTGCTGACACCTAGCTGGGAGGGCCCCCCCCCCCCCCCGAAGAGTCACGGCTGAGTAAGGGAGCTCTTACTCACCCAGGGAGTCCCGAAGGAAGAGGGCCTGGGTAATCCTAGGGCATTTCCACGTCCCCTGTGAATCTGGGATTTTGCTGCCCATTGAATCTCCTCGTACTGGGCCATCCAGGTCCCTTCTCACATATGCCCTGGGACTCAGTGACCCTTTGTGGGACAGGAGCTCTCAAGGCAGGGAAAAAGGGCACCAGAAAGTGGGCTTTTTGCCACTTCCCGGCCTTTGCTCATGTGTGGTATGGAGGAAAGGGACTCAGAGCCGGGCAGACAGAGGTCCCATCTGTGCCGTTGCATTGGGCCGGCTACATGACAAATGGACCTTCCTGAGCCTGTTCACACTGAGAATTTCCAGATCCTCCTTGGCCTTTTCAGAGGCATTGCTTGTGAGAATGTGAAGACTGTCGCTGTGGACAGGTAGGGTTCGGGCCCGCCAACTGATGCATAACCACCCGGTGTGCTGAGCCTTCCTCCAACTCAGCATGTGTTCTCTGAACACACTAGAGAAGCACACTGTGTCTCTTAGCCTATCCACTATGTTCATCTTTATTTATTTTTCTTGATCTTGGTCACACCTTTGTCCCGGCTACTCAAGGCTGAAGCCTCTTTCCTTGGATCAGGCTCTCTCCCCGCCTCCCTCCTCCTCTGGGCTGGACTCCAGTGGGGGAAAGCGGTATCCTGGCTCAGAAAGGGGTTTTCTCCACCCTCTGGAGTCACCCGTCACTCAGAACTGCCATAGCTCCTGCCTCCCCGGCCCCTGTCCCGCACCGCTCCAGCCTGGACTGGTGCAGGTGCAAACTACTCTGTCCGGAATTTTGAGGGGAACTGGGGTCAGTGGGGCCCTCAGTAAAGACCGACTCTCCCTGCTGGCTCTGAAAGGGTCATCGTAAGGAAGAAGCCAGACAGACACACGTAGGGAAGGGGCTGGGCCAGCGAGGGAGGTGCTCTGCTCCGGGGCTGGGAGACAGCGTGAGGATTTTTGGCCAGTAGTCCCGAGGCGGCACCCCAAAGATTTCAGGGTAGAAGGCTCGTTCAGGGATTCCAACCATTCCGCGTACGCCTGTCTCTGCTCAGCCTCAGTTGGCAAAATCTGGCGGCCTCGCGTTCCAGCCGTCTGCACAGCTCAAGGCGACCTCGCAGGCACGAACGAGCCCCGAGGCGGCCCCAGCTGGTGGCTCCGGCTGCAGGTTGAGCGTCCAGTGCCTGCAGCAGTCGCGGCAGGTCGCGCAGCAGGCGGTAGCGCGGCAGGGCGCGCAGTGGCGGGGGGATGTCGCCCTTGGCACAGAGGCGGCTGAAGTACGCGAGCAGCAGCAGCGGGCGCGGGGCCGCGCGCAACAGGGCGCGCAGGGGCGCCGCGCGGGGATCCGGGCCACCCGCCAGACTGGGGTCGGCACTGCTCCACAGCAGCAGCACGGTGCCCCGCTCCTGCGCCACGCGCGCCCGCGCCGCCCACAGCCACGGCAGCGGGCCCACGCGCGCCACGCGCGTCGCCTCCCACAGGTCCACGATCACGTCGCACCCGCCGCCCAGCGCCGCCCGCAGCAGTTCAGCCAGGGCTCCCACCAGGCGCAGCTGCGCCTCTGACTCCGCCGCGTGCAGGAGCAACACCGGCCGCGCGTGGCTCGGGCCTGGGGGCGGGAGCAGCAGAGGAACGAGGTGGGGGGCTAGGAGGCGGCCCAGCACTTCCCCTCCCCCAATCCCCGCCCCGGGACAACTCAAAGGGTGCCTAGGAACTAGGATGATGTAGGAACCTAGCTCCTTATCTGCGCTGTGGATGGGTACCCAGGACAACTTCAGCCTATACTGTGCCTTTGGGCTAATTAGATGAAAGCTCCCCGGAAGGAGTCAGGGCCAGGGTGCCAGGTTTGGCAGGTGCAGAGCGGGCTGGATTTCCGCCCCAATAGTCTCGTGCGCAGAGACTCTTAACAGTAACCCCCTGCACAGAGGGACCTTTGTTCCGTCTCAACCATCCCTGACCACTAGGGGGCCTGAGGCTCGCCACCCCGGGTAGCCGACCCACCACCTGGCTGAGGAGCCTAGGCAGGGGAAGGGCGGGGGAACCAGTCTAGGCCTTGTGCAGACCTGAACCCTCGAGGCTACCCCAGAGTGAGCTTACCCGACAGTGGGCGCCGGCGGGTGAGTACCAGAGCGACGCCCGACAGGGTGGTGAGCGCCAGCAGTGCCAGGATCAAGAGCCCCAGGTGTCTATGAGAGACTGAGTCAAGCAGGGTGAGGCCAAGCCAGGGTCCTCAGTGCCCAACCTCCTTCTCACCCCACCCCTCCTCTCCCGAGAACTCACCATCCGGACACAAAAGGTGCTTCCAGGAAAACTGAACATCTGACCTCCACACCTGAGGGCACAGAGCCCCCCATCCCTGTGAGCCAGGGTGGCCCCTCCTCCCAGGGGAGGTTGAATGGGGACAGCGAAGGGGAAGTTCCCCTGGACAGGGACTTTCCTCCGCACAGGGTTTGTGTTTGGTCCAGCTCTGGCTGGGCACACAACAGGTCAAGAGTGGCAAACTCAAAAAATAAATTCAGAGTTGGCCAGGGCATCCATGAGAACCTGGAGGGCACAGGCCCCGAATGAAGTAATCAGATGCCACTGAGTTCGAGCCCACTGTCACCATGTCACCATGTATGAAAGTGGACCAGGTTTTCTGATTTTCGAGAAGCCTGAAATCAGCGTTTTAAAATATGAACTCTCCAATATTTAAATGGTGGCAACTAATTCCAATTTCAAACACCATGTTGGCCAAACCAAACACTTTTGCAAACTGGATTTGCCCCACATGCCACCTGAAGAGTAGATACTGAGGGAGCATGTGCAGAGTGAAGAAACGATTCCTTACCAGGACACAGCTCCCTGGCTTCAGGAAGGGAATGATAAGGTCTAGCTTCACTGGGCTTGAGCCCTGAGTCTGTGGGAACAAAGCGCAGAATGACCATCTCCATAGACTCAAGTCTGGCTCTGTCTCCAGTCTGAGTCTTTGCCCACGTTCTTCCTCCTTCCTACCCCCCCAGCCCCACCCAAATCCTACCCAAGCTCAAGGCCAAGTGTGACCGCGGACAAGAAAGAAGTCTTCCCCCTGCTTCATTCTCAGATCCTGCTGGACATTCCCGGATCTGATACATTTAAATCAGGCGATCGATGGGGCGCCTGCGGGGCTCAGTCGGTTAAGTGTCCGACTTCGGCTCAGGGCATGATCTCACAGTTCGTGGGTTCGAGCCCCATGTCAGGCTCTGTGCTGACAGCCAGCTCAGAGCCTGGAGGCTGCTTCAGATTCTGTGACTCCCTCTCACTCTGACCCTCCCCTGCTCATGCTGTCTCTCTCTCTCTCTCAGAAATAAAAAATAATAATTAAAAAAATAAAAATAAAATGCCGTTAAAAAAATAAATCAGGCGATTGGGCATTCGTCAACAAACATACTATGGGTGCCTACTCTGTGTCAAGCCCTGAGGAAAGAAGACACAGATGTCGTCCCTGTCCTCCAGCAGCTCATGAACCAAGGAGGCTAATTATACGCTGCCTCCCTTCTCTGTCCCACATGTCTGAGGGGATGGCTTGTCTATGGGAAAGAACCTAAGTTGTGAAGTCCGAAGACCACGGTTTTAAAAAGTCAGGCTTCTCTCTCTCTGACCCTCCCCTGCTCACGCTGTCTCTCTCTCTCTCTCCTAGAAATAAATAAAAACATTTAAAAAAATTAAAAAAAAAATAAAAGGGGCGTCTGGGTGGCTTAGTCAGTTAAGCATCCGACTTTCGCTTAGGTCATGATCTAGCAGTTCGTGTGTTCGAGCCCCGCGTGGGGCTCTGTGCAAGACTGCCGGCTCAGAGCCTGGAGCCTGTTTCAGTCTGTGACTCCCTCTCTCTCTGACCCTCCCCTGCTCACGCTGTCTCTCTCTCTCTCTCTCCTAGAAATAAATAAAAACATTAAAAAAATAAAATAAAAAGTCAGGCTTAACTCTTGCCTTTGTGGTTCCGAGCTGTGTGCTCTTTGTGTGGAGATAGGTTACCTCCCTCCCTGACCCTCAGTTTCTTCACTTATATATGAAGACAAGTAATCTTTATATTACTGGGTTATTGAGAGCATCACATGGGGATGGGCACGTGAACACCCTCTGTCTCCCACAGTGCAGTGTGTATTCATTTAGTAGTAGTAGCTGTCATTACACTGTCAACTCCTTAGGGGCAGAGGCTGTGTAATATAGCTCTCTTGTAGCTCCCAGAGCCTAATACATGGTAGACACAGAGTAGGGATGCAGTAAATACATGTTAAACTGGTCAGAATCGATTGCCATCTGTTTACAGGCAGGATACGGCTCCACCCTACAGTCTGGGTGCTGGTTAGGGAGTTGACCAGAGTCTCCATCCTCTGGAAACTCTCTCCACCTCCAACCCCTGTATCAGCTCCGTCCCAGACCCCATTCTCCAGCCAGCTGCCAGCAGATGCTGAGACAGCGACTCTCAGACCACGGCTGAACGCAATGAAGGTGGTCCTTTCCCGGCTCAGAGAGAGATGAGTCCATGGGCTTAGCTCTCACTTTTAGGTCATCCCATGTGACTTTGTCTTAAATCTTAAGCATGGCTTGGTGTTAAATCTTAAACATTTGCTACCACCTGCTTGCCTGGGAGCCCTCATAAAATGCAAAACGAATAAGCGAGCTGCAAGTGAGCCTTTAAGAAAGAATTGGAAAAAGCTAGTCATGCTTAGTCAAATTGGTGCTGTGGTTTGGTGGATATATTTGGTTGTGGTTTTTATATCAGATACACAGAAGAAAGTCTGCTAGCCAAACTGTTGCCAGTTCACAAAATAGACTTAAATTTGTCAGTGGTTTGCAGTCTTCTGCAGAGAGGACTTTAGCTTCCAGGGACTCTGCCCCCCAAGAGGCCGGGAACTTCTGCCAAGTGCCTTGTGGGGGCAAGCAGCAGCACAGGGGGAGAGGACAGAGGGTTCCAGAGAGGGCGTTGGTATAAAACGTGGCAGCAGATTGAGTGGGTCAGGGGACAGCTGGATGTAAGAGGGCCAGTCTCTTGCCTCTGTTTACCCCGTTAGTTCAGAAACTAAACGGATTGGACAGTGGTCCATCAAAGACCCCGCTGACTGGCAGAGAAACCAGCCGACAAAGGCTGATCAAGTAAATCAATAACCACATGATGTAAGTCAGAGATTTGCTTGCCTCCACCTGGTGTGCTCCTAGCAACCAGACCTTGGGTGGGGGTGGGGGCAAACCCTGGCTACGAGGCCATACCTGGCTGATGCTATACACAGGGGGCGCCGAGCTGTCCTGCCCCAAGCCCGGATGGCTCCAGGCAGCGCTGAAGGTGGCGTGCACCCTCGAGGAGAAGTGAAGGACCAGCTGCTGGGCGTGGGTGTCCATGCTCACGTTCCAGGATGGCGCTGCCAGGGTGGGAAAGAGCATCATACGAGACATTCCGTTTGAAGGAAGTGGTAGGAGCTGGCCTGCGGTTGATCGAAAAGTCTGGGCAGGGCTGGGGTCTGGCGTGGTCACAGTTGGGGAAGGGTTAAATGGTGGAAGGGGGTCCCAGCCAGGGTCATTTATTGGCTCACCGGTCCTGTGGGGGCATTCAACGTGGCTGCTATTTCCAAAAGAGAACTGAGAAATCCAAGGACAGCATGTCAGTAAGCTCCAGGCACCATCCGCACCCCTTCTGTCCCATCACCCATGCTTGTACCTTAAAGCAGAGCTGGGGGTGCAAGTCTACTCCCTCCAAAATGTACCACTGTGGTAGGAGAAGGGAGTTAGTCAGGGAGCAGGGCCCTGGGCCCCAGCCCTGCCCACTTGAGTCCTGGGGAGGCCTGTCTCACCCCCTGTGACTCTCGAGCCGTGGCATTGGGGAGGTCTTCACACAGGGCGTGCCAGCCCTGCCTCTGGCAGAGGGAGGCCTCCAGCTTCAGTGGGCAGCGGAGCGTCAGAGCCATGACCATCTGACTGTGCTGGCTGTAGTCAGTAAAGTGCACTGACTTCCAGAAGTCCGGGCCATCTGGGTAGGCGGCAGACAGGGGCAGAGAGTGAGGCCTGGGGAGGCCTGGGCCCCGCTTCAGCCTCAGCCTCGCTTTGCACCCCCATCCCCAGAGCAGCAGCGGATGACTTTGTGAAGGTGCCCAGCATGGTTGCTGGAATGTCTAGGTACCCAGTGATGAGCATGCCTTCTCCAGACCGTTTATGACCTTTTCCACTTAAGCTGTCTCCCCTCCTTCCTGTGCCTCCATCCTGGCCAGCTCGCTGCTGCTACCCAAACTCAAAATCTGTATATTTGGGGGGCACCTGGGTGGCTCAGTCGGTTAAGCGTCTGACTTCAGCTCAGGTCACGATCTCATGGTTCGTGGGTTTGAGCCCCGCGTCGGGCTCTGTGCTGACAGCGAGCTCAGAGCCTGGAGCCTGTCTTCGGATTCTGTGTCTCCCTCTCTCTCTGGCCCTCCCCGGCTCATGCTGTCTCTCTCAGAAAACAAAAAAAATGAAATCGTACCCATTTTCTCAGCCCACCTCAGATGCCACCTTCTATAAGAGACCTTCTCTGCTCAGACATTCCGCCCTTTCAGAAACTCAGCCATTTCCTGAGATCATGACCTACAGCCTAATCCTTAATTATAACAATGCCCTGGCCTGTAGCCTGCCTTGTGCTACTCATTTGTTGTGTTTCAAGGTCCTGTCTCTTTAATTTGGGGATAATAACATGCATAGAGCAATTCAGACATCACCAACCACTTTTACATATGATACTGAATTCAAGCTTCATTTCCTCAACAGTTGGAAAGTAAGGCAGGGCAGGTATCACTACGTAACTGATGAAGAAACTGAGGTTCAGAGAGTAAGTAGGATGCGACTCCAAGATTTCTGGTCCATTCTCTTAGGACACCACCTCCCAGTCCTCTCATATTTCTGAACCTCTCACAGTGCCTAGTACAATGTTCAATACTGATTTATTGGCAGGCTGATTGGTAGATGTGATAGCCCTTTTCCCCCACCGACTCCAGAGAAAGTGCCTGCATACCTTCTGGGGGCTTCCTCCACAACATAAGGTACGAAGTGTGTGAGTGTGAGTGTGAGTGTGTGTGTGTGTGTGTGTGTGTGTGTGTGTGTAAGAGAGACAGAGAGAGGCTGTGAATACACGAGAATGCATATGTACAGCACTCACAGGCTTCAGGCCAGTTCTGGAAGGGGCATTTTTTGCGCCTCACGGTGTCTTCTTGCAGGTAGGATGCCTGCGGGGACAGGGAGGGCAGTCAGGGAGGGTCACAGTAATGGCTTGTCCTGTATCAGTCACACCTGAAACTCATTCTGGCTTGACTTTGCCCTGATGCAAGCTGCCTGAGCGGTGGAGCCGAGAGGAGGAGGTCAGGGCAGCGTGTGGGCAGTGTATAGGAGCAAGATCAGTAAGTGTGGGGCTGGGGCTGAGTCCCCTTGTCCCTGGGAAGGAGAAACTATCCTCCCCAGAAAGAGGAGAGGCCCACATTCCTCCACTTTTGGCTCCCTGGCTTCTGCCCAGTGATTCCCAAGGCGCCCGGCGCCCTGCGTGGACCCATCCCTCTGGACTGCCCGGCCACCCCGGCTGCTCCAGGTGTCTGCCTGCACGTCCCTTTTGTCTCCTCCTGGTTAACAAGGTCCCCTGAATCTTCTGTCTAGTTCGAAGAAGTCTTAATGCCACTCACCTCAGCTTTGTAAGGAGAGGAGGGCTGCTGTGGACGGCTCATGGGGACAAGACTTTTGGAGCCACGTGGAACCCTGCGGTGGCCCCCACTGTGACTCTTCAGAACACACAGCGAAGGCAACTGTGCATTCTGTGTCTGTGGGATGGGGCCAGTCTGAACCAGGGAAGGCTGGCTTTGGGCCGGACTGAGGCTGGAATCACCCCCAAAATGTCCCATATTCAGCAGGACGCTTCCATCTCTGACCCGGTGTGTGGCTCACAGTCAAACTGGCAGCAGTCTTCCCAAGCATCTTGTCAAGATGCTGACAGTAAGGCCTGACTTGCTGGAGATACGCCTGACCTACTGGGAGGCCTAGGAGCGGAGCCGCGGACAACCCGATCCTTTCCCTCTGCTCACCTCTACGCACAGACACGGCAGAAGGAACTCATAAGGCAGGTCTATGGCACGGCCCCCAGACACAATTTTCTGTTGGCAAAGCAGCAAAAGGAGAGAAGAGGTGCCTGAGAAAGAGCTTGGGCACCCTGGACAAGGGCAGCAGGCGCTAGGATCTTGGCCAACACACCCGTTTTCCTCTTAAAGAAGAGTTCTTTCTTTCACTGAGGAAAGAGTTATTTCTTTTTTTTTTTTATTTTTTATTAAAAAAAATTTTTTTAATGTTTTATTTATTTCTAGGAGAGAGAGAGAGAGCGTGAGCAGGAGAGGGTCAGAGAGAGAGGGAATCACAGACTCTGAAACAGGCTCCAGGCTCTGAGCTGGCAGTCAGCACCGAGCCCGACGCGGGGCTCGAACCCACGAACCATGAGATCATGACCTAAGCGAAAGTCGGACGCTTAACCGACTAAGCCACCCAGGCACCCCAAGGGTTATTTCTTTCACTCCCTTCCAGGGGCGTCCCTGCTCTGTAGTCTCTCTGCTCTGGGTATCTCAATATACGGAGTGGGGAAAGGGAGGAAATAGGGAAAGGATTATATATTTCTGGAGACCCAACTGTATGCCAGGTAGGTGCTAGAAACGTTAACTCGATTAATTAAATGCTAGCAATCTAAAACGATCTTTGTTTTATAAATGAAGAGAGCTGAGGGTCTCATAGATATAGTCTCGTCCCTGTAAATGACACCAGCTGCATACAAGGGCATCCGCAACAACTGGAGGTTCAAGTCGGGTATCAGGGCCTGGGCTGAGTGAACATTCTCTAAGGGGCAGCAACAAAGGAAGGCGATGGAAGGGCACCAGGACAGATGTGACCACTCCCTGGGGGGAACTGAAATGCCTTCTTAGTGCAACCTAAATCTGGGGGTTTTCTCACTGGAGATTAATGCCGTATTCATTTCTCTGCTAGGCATTCATGGCTGCTCCAGGTCTCTGTCTGCCCTTTCCCTTCCTCTCCCCCAGGGTGACAAGGCCCCCTGCATTTTCTGTCTAATCCAAAGAAGGCTTAATGCTAGGCACTTCAAAAATGCAGGGATGTCGTGGACAATTACTGTCCCTCTCTGGGCCTCAGTCTCCCCCATGTGTACAAAAGGGAGGCCCTTTTCGCTGCAGTGCTGTGTGACCTGGCTTTTTAAAGGGAGACGACACTCCATACCTGGGCCTCGAGGGGACTGCTCAGCTCTTCGCATTCTAGCGCCCACTGGTGACAAAGACGCACGCTGACCTCGGGTCCCGGAGGAATGGTCACTCGAATAGCCCGTGCCTCAGGCAGCAAATCAAAGGAGAACTCGGGCCCTGGGGAGAGGGGGGCCTGGTAGCCTTCTCTCTTGGCCTCAGCGCAGTCACCGTTACGTGGCTGCACCCATTTCTGGTCACACTCCATGCCTACCTCCATGCCGTTGTGAGCTGGGTCTGGGGAGACTTTCCACTGCCTTTGGATCTGAAGGTTGGGTCCTTTTAGAGCGCAGTCCCTTGTGAGAGATGTCTGGGAAGGGGACAGCGATGTGAGGACCCTTCTCGGACAGGCAACAGCTACTCAGCAGCTTCCTCTGTAGGCAGAGAACAAGGCTGGCCTTAAGGCCAGGGATCAGGCTTCTATTACGGCTTCTGGAACCTGGAGTACCTCAGGCAAGTTGCTCAACCTTTAGACCTCAGTTTCCCTAACTGTAATGGACAGAAGAGTCGACTTCATCGCCATGACATCTCTCACATGGGGTGAGAACAAAACGAGAGGCCCGAAAGGAAAGGGCTGTGGGGCAGGGCTGGAACTGGCGGGGTGGGGGGGGGGGTACCTGAGCAGATGCTGGCAGCTTGTGTCTCCTACAGAACCAGAACTTGTATGGCTTCCTGTGTTCCTGCACCAGGAGGCGGATCCAGCCCCCCTGGAGGTCTGCACAGGAAAGGACATGTTGACAATCCAGCCCTTCGCTGCCCCTCCCCTATCTGGAAATGTGGCTTGATGTTAGACAGTAAGCCATTTGAGATCATGGAGGGTAATGAAACTGAGCTTCCTTAGTCCTAAAAATTATGATATAGTCAAAAAAAGGATTAATTCCTTAAGTAGAGAAAAAGCTATATATATGCAAAGTTGTCCACTTTTTTCTTGCAGCAGTGCAAAACTAGAAACTGCCAATTGTTAAACAGTGTTTGGGCATTTACTATGTGCCAGGCACTGAGCTAGGCAATGAAAACGCAGACTTGAATAAGAAAGGTGTTACTTCGCTAACAGAAAGCAGTAATAGTAAACTCATGGAAGTATAACATTTTAATCCGAAGAATTGGTACCAGTGGAAAGGAGAAGCACCTTCACAAAATGATAAAAGTGAACCCATGGATATCAGTCATGGTATGCTATTTTCGGATGACCTGTCTCTGTTGAGGCTGACGAAAGGACAGACATCTGTTCAGTAGGCTAAGTCCCAAGTTCCTCTGCCTGCCCCCCCCCCCCCCCCCCCCCCCCCCCCCCCCCCCCCCCCCCCCCGCCCCATACCCCTAATTCACATTCCTCCTGAGAAGAGCCGAAAGGGCTGTTTCTCATACCTGAAGGGTTTGACACCAGATGCAGGTGCGAACAGCAGGGGTGGAGCCAGAGCTGAGCACAGCAAGGCTTTGGGGACACAGGAAGGGCCAAGTGGGTCTGGCAAGGAATATGGGCAGACCCTCCTGGGAAGGACGATAAGAGAATCAAATGATAGGGTCCAAGGAGGTCCCTCCTGCCTCAGACAACTTGCACTTGAGACTGAGATGTGTGGCTTTGGGCGAATGACGGATCTCTCTAAGCCTCAGCTTCCTCATTCATAAGTAGGACTCTTGTCAAGATCAAGTGAGATAAGGTGTGGGAAAATGATCTGTAAACCAGAACGTACCCTAAGATATGAAGGAGCGTTATTGTATCACCGACCGGAGGGAGAGATCTGTTAAGGGGGAAAGATTATCCTTTGTCTCTCATTTAATCCTCTCCTCAGCTCAGGGGCGACAGCTTTCATCATACAATCATTTCTATCGCACTCCTCTACCCCTCAGAAACGGAGAGTCAGAAGGGCTAAGGGCATTGCTCACAGCCACACGTGGAGTGTGTGGCGGGACTGCAAGGCAAATCCAGGCTTGTCCTAATTCTAAACCCCGTGATTTTTCCTTGATATGGTACTTCCCAAGTTGGGAACCAAAAATGACTGGCTCATTAGAGATCTGGAACGAAAGGGACACAGAAGAGAATCAGGGCAGGGGATGAGACTCACCGCTGAGAGTGTCTTCCTGAAGGCACAGGGCCCAGTAAGGGTAAGAAAGGAGAGAAGAATTATTAGTAGGGATTCCCATGGGGGGCATTCTCCCTGGGGTCTTTGCCTCAAATCACCTAGTTCCAAGGCCCATTAGCTAATAGCCCATCCACTCTGGCTCTCTTCTTTCTAGCTCAACCCCTGCCCGGGCCCTCAGCACACCAGAACCTTGGCCACCCCTTTGAGGCCACATGAGGGACACCCTGGGGCTGCCACCAGGCCGCAGGGAGGCAGGAGAGGAGAGGCAGAAGAGTGGGAACCTTTACCAGCCTGTGGCGGGCAGCTGTCCCCACTGGGCAGAGGGGTATCTTACCATGTGGGAGGCCAGCAGACAGTGGGTGCTCCGGTGCGGAAGACAGGGGCAGCCAATCCCAGTGGGGGCAGAGAAGCCAATGAAGAGCAGGAGAGGCAGGAGCAGAGCTGCCAGTCTGGGGCTCCCCATGGACTTCCGTGGGGTCAGAGCCCCCAGAGCATGGCTGCACAGCCTGAAGGTGGGCGGCAAGGCCTCGCTGTGCAGAGCAGAGAATGCGGGCAGCAGGAGCCCTCGCCTCTGCCTGCTGCTGCCCCGCCCTGCCCCAGAGCTCCTCCTGCATCCGGATCCTAACCAGCTAGCCGGGCTGCATTCCTTCTCCCAGCGGAGGGACGCGTGCGCCCCCCCCCCCAAACCCTACTGCCCCCACCTGGAGGGCAAGGGGCTCCTGCTCTGGCAGAGAAATAACAGGAAAGAGGCCAGCACCGGGTTAGGGGGATGGAGGGCTGCACCTATTTCTTAACCCCTCCTACTGCTGCAACACTCTGCAGATCTGACCCGCCTACTGCGCTCGCTCTTGGACTTGGAGCTTCCTTGGAGACGTGCTTCCTCCCCTCACTTAGAGAATTAATAGTACTGTGAAGCACTGTTCTGTGATGGGGCCTGGAGACAAAGGTGACTGAGGCACCACTCAGAGTTGAGCAGAACAACAAAAAGTCATGATAGGATGCACATACATCTCACATGCCCCCACACTCAGCCTGCCCCCTACCTGGCTGACCCTCAGGACTAGAGCCTAGCTTCCTCTCTCCACCCAGCTCTTCTGGGCAAAGGGGTCCATGCCAAAGGGGCATCCAGCTTCAAGGATCCTCTCATCAGTACCGTCTGTTCAGGAAGCCCCAGAACTCACAGCTGAGCCCTGGAGCCGAGGGAGCCGGCCCCACACACTGACCTGGTTTCCTGTGGTTTCTGATGCTGACGAGGCTCCCGGCTCTGTGGGGACCCTCCCCATCGTCCCACAGCTTCCTCCTGCTCATGGAGCACTTGAACTGCTTTAGTCCTCATCTTGGTGACACACACAGAAAGCAAGCCTGGGGCACACCTACAGGCTTAGGTCATCTTGAGATTAAAGCCTGACGGTGGCCTTGTTTAGGCCAATTCTAAGTCTTCAGGTCCACAGTCTAAAGACCCATTGTACGCATTATCCTAAAAATACCCTCTAACTTCTGCGTTCCTCAGAAGACAAGGACCCTTTCCTATTCCTTAAGCGCTCCAAAGCCTAGCAGTGGATGTCAAGAAATAGGTGCTTTGGACGTTCCTGGGTAGCTCAGTCAGTTGACTCTTGATTTTGGCTCAGGTCATAGTCTTGCGGTTTGTGAGTTCCAGCCCTGAGTCCAGAGCCTGCTTGGGATTCTCTCTCTCCCTCTCTCTCTGCCGCTCCCGTTTTCTCTCTTTCTCTCTCAAAAAAAAACTTAAAAAAAAAAAATAGGTGTTTTGCAGTTGAATAAATATAACATTTAAGTAGCAGTTTATCTGCTTCACATTTCACAAGCACTTTCATATTTGATCCTCCTAATCACCTCATGAGACAGGTAAGTGAGAATTCTTCTTTTCATTTCGTAAAGAGAAATAAGGAAACAGAAAGAAGAGTCAAGGTCAAGGTTTCTAGCCCAGGGAGCACCAATTCTGCCAGCCTCTTACAGTTGATTTCATTTTCTAACATTCTGTAGTCTCTCTTCCCACTGTCTCATCTCCCTCTGCTCCTGGGAACCTAAAAGAGTTTGCCTAGCAACGATCTGTTTTTTGGTCTTAGAGCCGATCACTGCAAAAACAGATTAGTTAAGGGGCACCCGGGTGGCTCAGTCGGGTAAGCGTCCAACTTCGGCTCAGGTCATGATCTCAGTTCAAGAATTCAAGCCCCTTGTGAGGCTCTGTGCTGACAGCTTGGGGCCCGGAGCTGCTTCAGATTCTGTGTCTCCCTCTCTCTGCCCCTCCCCCACTTGCACTCTGTCTCTGTCTCTCTCTCAAAAATAAATAAACAAAAAAATTTTAAACAAAAATAAACTAAGAAACCAGATTAGTTAAGATATGAAGGAGGAAGGGGCGCCTGGGTGGCTTAGTCGGTTAAGCGTCCGACTTTCGCTTGGGTCATGATCTCGCGGTTCATGGGTTTGAGCCCCGCGTCGGGCTCTGTGCTGACTGCCAGCTCAGAGCCCGGAGCCTGTTTCAGAGTCTGTGATTCCCTCTCTCTCTGACCCTCCCCTGCTCACGCTGTCTCTCTCTCTCTGTCTCTCCTAGAAATAAATAAAACATTAAAAAAATTAAAAAAAAAAAAGATATGAAGGAAGAAAAGGGTGGTCTGGCCACACAAAGGATAGGTTGAGTTTTCACCCCTCAATTTTTACCTGACCCACAGTGGTTTAGATCTACATTACTAATGCATTTTCCAATGCTTAAGGGCATGAAGTGAGAGACTTGGTTCCATTCTAGAATACTTTCCTTTCTTAACCTCTTATATCATCTGGACTATCACAGTGAAAATATTTCCTTAATTGCTCCCTGACCCTGGCTAAAGTATGGTAGGAGAAGCAGAAAAGAAATAAAAGGACACACATCCACACATACAAAATAAAAAAAGAAGAGAAAAGGAAGAACATGAGCACATAGAAAAGGAAAAACAATAAAGATGAGGAAGAAAAGGAGACAGAAGAGAGCAAAGAAGGTCTATGGTTTATTTATTGTCTGCTGGTTTGCCTATTGATTGAGGGGCCTGTTCCAAAAATGAAGTAAAGTAAAAAGCACAGATGGTGAGTTCCGACACATCCCGGGAAAGAGCAGGGAATCAGTCCAAGATCTGCTACTCTTTCTATCAGGCTCTGGACCATATCTCATTTTAGGAGTACTACAACCCGTGAGGTCAGTCTTATTAAACCACATTACAGACTGGACAACACTAGGAAGATTAAGTAACAATACAAAATACAAAAATGGAGAGCTGGGACTCACCACCCAGTCTTTCTGGCTCTTTCTTCCAGAACATACTGCTTGGGGAGATCTGTGAGAAGTCAGAGGGGTTCTGGGCCCTCTGGTCCACAGAAATACTAGATTTAGCAATGTGATGTCGTTAGTAGGGTTAACAATGTAAAGGAAGTGAATTAGTGGTCAGACTTCAGACTTCCAGATGAGTAGGGATTGTTTGGCAAGTATCCACACAGTAGGAGCAACTGGCTGGAAGAGGAGGTAGCCAGCGAGAGTAAAACCCAACTGCGGCGCAGAGGGCCTGTCCTCCTGGAAGATGGCTGAGGCTGCCTCACTTGTGGTTTGTGTCTGAATGAGCTGACCCCAGACTTCATGCTCTAATAACCTTTAGCTGGGGACCAAGCCAACAGAGCTGAGGAAGTCTTGGCACAGCCCTGCACATGCTCAGACGCAGAGTACACCGCGGGGGCCGTGGACAGCTGTTTTTCTTGAGCCGTACCCTTACATGGACTCAGGTCAGACCATGCAGCAGCATCTCCAGGCTCTTTCTGTCAGGGCTGTTTCTTAAAGTCTGCTGGGGCCACTGTGCCTACTCTTAAGGCACCGTGGGCAGGAGGGGCCAGCCCATTAGACCCAGGCAAACCAGGAGTGGACAAGTGTCCCTTCCTCACTTCTGCTATTCCAGAAGGAATCAACCTCTAGAATTCCAAGGCAAGCAATTAGGTCTAAGAGAAGAGGTAGGGACCCCCAGTCTGAGAAGGGGAAATTAACAATGCTTATCAAGGAAAGGGATCTGGAGATTTATTAAGCACCTGCTATGTATTTTATTTAATCCATTTATTTATTTAACGTAATTTTATTTAATAGTAGCTACTATGATTCCCATGTGTCAGATCAAAATCGGAGACTCAAGTATCCTGCTCAAGGCAAAAGGTAGAACTCCAACCTAAGTCAGTCTAATACAAGAAGCTGTATTCACTCCACCACACCACACTGCCTTGCTCACAGACTAGATGCTCTTCTAAGAGTCCCTCCAATGCCTACACTCTAGATCTGCAATCAGGGAATTATCATTCCTCACATTTATACAGTGTTACATAGTTCACAAAACACCTTCATAACACTTCACTTTGTCTTCAAAGCAATCCTGTGAAATATGCAGTGTTGATGCCAACCACGGAACTGGGTGTGCTGGTACTTGAACCCATCTTCCACCATCCAAATACAGTCCTCTTCCCATTAACTCAAGATCTCTTCCAAAGGGGATCTTGTTTGCTCTGGGGACTACAGCCACGAGGCAGGGGAAAAAAATAACTGGAAAAGCAGAATCCCAATAACCCAACAAGCAGAAAACAAAAATAAACCAAATGGCTTTTTTCCCTTATTCACAGCCATTTCCGTAACAGGTCTTCAAAGGCACTCTAAGATTACAAAATATCATTCCAATAATCAAAGAAAATTTTAACTTTATTTATTTTTGAAAATTTTCACTTTAACATTTTTATTTGCATCCCAATTCTTTGAAAATAAGCAATTTGTTCCCGGGGCACATAATTCCATTGCCCACACATTTCCATCTGCTTTCCTTTGCTCTCCAAATCCTACCTCAGACACAGTCTAATTCTCTCCTCTGTGCAGTACATCCTGATTTCACGCTACAGTAGGTCAAGTTACTTCATTCAACAGAGTACACACTGTGTGTCAGGTACTGAGCAGGGGGGTGAGGAAAAGACATGTAAACAAATAACTCTGTCAATAAGAGGTAAAAAAAAAAAAGAAAAAAAAAAAGCCATGTGGATTCAAAGAAAGAACTCTTACTCCTCAAACTGAAGCGACCAGAAGGCTCCAGGATTACCATATAAACTGCATCTTGAAGAAAGGCATATGAAGGTATAAAGGGGAAATGTTTAAGCAAACTGGGAAAACATGAAAGTAATATGAAGTTTCATGAGGTTTACTGACTGAGAAAGACTATGTGAGAATTTTGGGAGATAATACAACACTGGTACACTGGAATCACACCTTGGAAATGTCAAGAGATTGAAGGATTTTGATTGTTCAAAAAATAATGGCATGTTGTAGAGGCTTGATGACTATCAAGAGCCGTGCTCTTGGTATATTCACTTGCACCACAGGGATGCAGGAAGAGGTATGGGTATGATGTAGAAGACAAGGAGCTAAGTTTGGGACACACTGAGTTTGAGATGATCATCGACACGTAGAGAAAAAGGCTTTACAGTAGAAGTACTGCCAGTATCTAAGAGTGAGAGAGTATATACTTAATGTTTATGGAATAAAAGAAGGAATGCAAAAAAAATGACTAGAACTCTGGAGACGGCAGAGATCTGCCATTAGAGATCTGAACATCATCCAGAGATGATAAAGTGGACAAGAACAAAGGGACACACATCTTTCCTGCAATAAATATTTACTGTAGGCCAGACTTTTAAGTGTGAAAAGAGCCTTTAGTTCACAGATCTCTTTCGCATTTCCATTTTTATCTGCTCCACACCGTCTGATCCTGTGTTCGTTAGTTGTTTCACATGTATATTATGTTTCACCCAGACTGTACGCTCCCTTATATGCAGGGATACTTTAAGATTCTTTTGGATGCCATAATATATCATTAGATACATAACTGATGATCTGTTAACACTGAATGATAAACATGAACATCCAATCAAAAGAACCCGTAACACAAGCAGGATAAATGAGAAAGGACCATTTTACAGGCGGAGAGATTAAATGCATGGCCCGTGGTAGTTTCTCGTAATCAGCTGTAGGGCTGCTTATATGACTCAGATTCCTATGCCCAGTTTACTTCTCTACGGCTACTTCCAGGTTTCCCAGGAAACTACCTACCTCCTAGGGCCTAAGGCCACTCAAGTAACCTACCTTTCACACTTTATCAAATCCCAACACAAGGCACAGGGTGGACAAGGCAGTTCTAATTTTATTGAAGTTCTTTTAATCAAAATCCTTTTCACTAGAGACCGCAGCCCGCAGGGGAGCCTCCCAAATGTTTCCTGCCCCTCGACTTACAGATTGAAGTAGAATTTGACTTATTCCCTATCTCTTTCAGTCTTGGTGGCTAAAGGGTAATGGATGGAAGTGGAGAGAATGACCAAGAGGCAAGGATGAGGCTCAGTCTTAAAGAAAACCTCCGAAGGCTCTCAACTTCAACAACCTGAAGTTTGTTCTATAGTTGTTGATCGCCCAGTTCCAGCCAACCAGGAATAAATTAAATACAGTTTTGCCACCTCAGCTGATGGCAACGGCGGGGCGGGGGGCCGGGGGGGGGGTTAGCTTTCCAGGATGTGGGCCTCATTTGCTCTAGCTGCCAACATCACAGCTGCCCAAATCACCAGAGATTTCAGAGCAGCTCCTCTACCTTCTCACTCGGCTCAACGGGAGGCCCAGGCTTCACCCCACAGAGCAGTCCATCAGGCAGGCTTCATTTACGCTTCTTCTCTTGTGTGCTGGTGAACCAAGAGTCTAGGAGCTTCTTGCTGTAGTATAACTGCCAGGCATGCACTTGGACAGCCAGCACCAACACCAGGTACATGACAGAGACGGCAGAAAAACCAAAGAGGAAGCGGTACGCCTTTCCGTGGCGGTAGAGCTGCTGTGCAGCGGGGAACATCTCCATGCTGCCATAAATGAGGGGAGCTATGGAGAAGAGCCCCATGCTGATCATGGAGAGCACCAGGTAGCTAATGTTGTTTCGAGGGAAGGACAGGAGGCCCAAGAGGGAGGGCACAATGCTCAGCAAATACGGATATTCCCACTGATAGGGCATGGCCACCTGATCGTGCGACAAGAGCCTCAGGTGTCCCACACTCATCTTGGCAACCAGCAGCAGCCATATGACCAGATGCACGTAGATCAGCTTCTTGATTTCATACTTGAGGGTCACGCTGTGGGGTAGAGCAGAGGAAGAAGTACCTTTCATTCAAAATTTTCTGACCACCAACTATACGCCAGGCAACTATACCGGAACACTGGGGGTACAAACGTGAATAAGACCTAGTCCCTGCCTGGAGGGCAAGGAACGGAAGAAGAAAAAAATAATAGCAAAATGAACCGGAAGAGCTCTAGTAAATATACACTGCAAGGTATATGGGAGCCCGGGAAGGAGCAATCAGTTCAGCTTAGGAGGGGATGTCTGAGGAGCTGGAGGAGAGTGGTATTTGAGCTCCCGGTATATGCGGAGCCGCATATTCCCACCAGAGGTAGTAGCATGCAGGCAAAAAGACATAAGCGCTGTGTTCCAGGACAGCAGACAGCAGGTGGTGCCACAGGAATACTTTGTAGTAGGAAGGGGAGCAGCAAGACGAGAAGGTGCAAAGACTATGAGTCAGATTAAAGGCAAAAGAGTAACTCAGAGCTTTGTGTTTGGAGAGATGACTTTGCCCCACAGGGATGTAGCCTAGAGGAAGGAGATATTGGCAGAGAGGAACTCAACTCAGACTGCCCACTATGTCCCCAGCTAGAGTAGATTTTATAGCCAAAGGAAGCACACAGATTTCTCTTATTCTTCTAATTCTCTCAGGTCCTAAATGTATGCTCTTCACCGCCCTGAGGGCAGTATCTGCTCGGAACAGTCATCAAAACACTCGCTTGGGTTGTGATATCCTTTTGGACAGGGTCTAAGGATAACCATGAAAGGAAGGTCCAAAAAGCTGGTCATTCTTCAAAACTCTGGAAGGATGTGAAAAACATTCTGGGAGAGTTTGATGGATTTACGGAGAGAAAATAGATTTTTCAAAGTTTTTATTTTAAAAATATTCATTATAGAAAACGTGGAAAGGTAGGGGTAAAAAAAAAAAAAAAAGTCAGTCACCTGTAGACTTCATGCTCCATGAAGGCAGGGACCGATTCTTTTTTTTTTTTTAAGAAACTTTTTTATTGAAGGTGTAACATGCATACAAAGACCAGATCCGCTTTTGCTTACTACGGTATCCTCAGTGCCTAGCACAATGCCTGATGGGTAGAAACGCAATAAATATCTGTCGAATAAACGAACGCAGAAATCCCCCTTACACGGGGGTGTTCATAAAATTGATTTTAGGCAAGTTAAAGGCTGGACTTTGTGGTTCACACTCTCCCAAACGGCCCGAAATACAACAGCTACCATATACTGGACAGCCTCTGTACACGAATTACTAGCTCACTAATTTTTCACCAAAACCTAAACAGATTACTTTTCCCTTCACAGATGAGGAAACTGAAGTTCAATTAAAAACTGGGTTTCCGAGGTCACAGGGGCCAGCATCGCAAGACCCGGGAGCCTAGAGGGTAGGGACTGGACCCTTCCAAGGCAAACGGCGGATCACGGGGTGGCGCTTATGGGAGCAGCCGGGCTTCCCGAAATTGGGAACAGGCCCTAGGCCGACACGGGAGGAGGGGACTTGGCAGGTGCGCGCCGGCGGGTGGGAAAGACCCCGAGGCCGGCCGGCGTCTCTTCCCAAGCCCTACGGGCTCCGGCTGGAGCGAAGGCCTCCGTGCTCCTCGCCTCACTTCATACCTCATCTGGTAGTGCATGGCGACGCGCTCCCGGTGCTGAAAGTCGCTGCCGTCGGTGCCGGCCGCTCGCGGGCCTGCCCGAGATGCCATTATCCCCGCCCCAAATCTCGGAGCCCCTCACACCGACCCTGCCGCAGCTACCCGGGCCAAGAACCCCGAACACCCCGTTAGCGCAGCCTCAACTCGCCACCCTACCAGCCGCGCGGGTCTGTGAGGACGACTTCCGGCCTCTCTGTCTCTGGAGGACCGACTCTGTGGTCACGCCCTCGCGCACGCGCACGCGCACGCTCTCTCGGCCAGGGCCGCGCCTGACTCTGCCCCTTTAGAGTGCGTAGAAATTAATCTGCAGGAGGTCATCTTCTTGCAGTTTTCCTGCACCGTATCTTCTAGATTATCAAACACATTCACTTTTTAAACTCTAGTATGAGTTTAAGACAGCGCCGTCTCCACTTCACAGACGGGGAAATGATATTTGAGAAGGGTTCGGAAGCTGTCCCAAAAGCACACATCACTAACGCAGTATCAAAATATCTCCCTATGGATTAATTAATCATTGCAAAGAGAAAATGGTAACAGCTTTACAGTGGAAAAACCTGGGGTGTACCCCGTTAACCAAGTAAAGTTAACTTGATCAGTAATAAGACAAGGTGACATCATCTGCCTCCTGTTACAATGAGAACACGGCCTCACTTCTGTGATCTTTCTGGCAGAAATACTTAATCTGAATTTAATCATGAAGAGATGGTAGATAAATTGAAGGACATATTATAAGATCATTAGATTGTATTTTTAAAAATGGGAAGGCTATGAAAGAGAAAAAGTGGTTTTTTTAAATGTTATTTTTGAGAGAGAGCATAAGCAGGGAGGATAAGAAAGAGAGGGAGACAGCCGATCTGGGGCTCAAACTCAGAACCATGACATCATGACCTGCGCCAAAGTTGCATGCTTAACCAGATGAGCCACCCAGGTGCCGTAGAAAATTGTGTTTCTTAAATGGTAAGACTTGAGGGGCGCCGGGTGGCTCAGTCGGTTAAGCGCCCGACTTTCGCTTAGGTCATGGTCTCGTGGTTCGTGGGTTCAAGCCCCGCGTCAGGCTCTTTGCTGACCGCCAGCTCAGAGCCTGGAGCCTGTTTCCAATTCTGTGTCTCCCACTCTCTCTGACCCTCCCCTGCTCACGCTGTCTCTCTCTCTCTCTCTCTCTCTCTCTCTCTCTCCTAGAAATAAATTTTTTAAAAAAATGGTAAGACTTGAAAGTTGAAATGACCACTTGATCCAAGGGCTGCACAATGGATGTTGTGTTAGCAAGCATGAAAACATTAATCTCCTTATACGTCTCTAGCAGAGTTCTTGGGTGACCAGGTGCATTGTCAATGAGCAGTAACAGTTTAAAAAAAATTTTTTTCCCCTGAGCAGTAGGTCTCAACAGGGGTCTTAAAATATTCAGTACAGCATATCATAAGCGAGACATGCTATCATCCAGGATTTGTTGTTCCACTTATAGAGCACAGTCAGAGTAGATTTAGTATATTTAAGGGCCCTGGGACTTTGGGGATGGTAAATGAGCATTGACTTCAGCTTAAAGTCACCAGCTGCATTAGCCCCTAAGAGGGGCAGTCTGTCCTTTGAAGCTTTGAAGCCAGGCATTGATTTCTCTCCAGCTATAAAAGTCCTAGATGGCATCTTCTAATAGAAGGCGATTTCATCTACATTGAAAATATGTTGTTTAGTATAGTCCCCTTCATTAATTATCTTTTTTTTTTCTGAGAGAGAGAGAGAGACAGTGTGAGTAGGGGAGGGTCAGAGAGAGAGGGAGACACAGAATCTGAAGCAGGCTCCAGGCTCTGAGCTGTCAGCACAGAGCCCAACACGGGGCTCGAACCCACGAACCGTCAGATCATGACCTGAGCTGAAGTCGGACGCTTAACCGACTGAGCCACCCAGGCGCCCCACCTTCATTAATTATCTTAACTAGATCTTTTGGATAATTTGCTGCAGCTTCTACTTGCACTTTTATGTTATAGATTCCTTAAACTTCATGACCCAACCTCTGCTAGCTTCACACTTCTGCAGCTTCCTAACCTCTCTTAGCCTTCATAGAATTGAAGAGAATTAGGGCCTTGCTCTCGATTAGGCTTTGGCTTAAGGGAATGTTGTAGCTGATCTGATCTTTTATCCAGACTACTAAAACTTTATATCAGTAATAAGCCTGTTTCACTTTCTTATGATTCATTGACTGGAATAGCACTTTTACTTTCCTTCAAGAACTTTCCCTTTGCATTCACAGTTTGGCTCTTTGGTGCAAGAGGCCTAGCTTTCAGCCTATCACGACTTTCAACATGCCTTCCTCACTGAGCTGAATCATTTTTAGCTTTTGATTTAAAGTGAGAGGTTTGTGATTCTTCCTTTCACCTGAACACGCAGGGGCCACTGTAGGATTTTTCATTGGTCTAATTTCAATATTGTTGTGTCTCAGGAAATAGGGAGGTCAGAGAACAGGGAAGGAGATGGGGAGAGAAATGGCCAATTGGTGGAGCAGTCACAACACACACATTTGTCAGTGAAGTTCTCTTGCTTATATAGGCATGGCTCATGGTGCACCCAAGCAATTACAATAGTAACATCCAAGATCACTGATCACAGATCACCATAACAAATGTAATAATAATGAAAAAGTTTGAAATATTGTGAGAATTAACAAAATGTGACACAGAGTCATGAAGTGAGCAAATGCTGCTGGAAAAAAAATGGTACTGATAGAGTTGCTCAACACAGAGTTGCCACAAACCTTCAATTTATGAAAATTACAATATCCGTAAAGTTCAGTAAAGTGAAACACAATACAGTAAAGCACAATGAGGTAAATTATGCCTGTATGTGTCTCCTCCCCCTATACTCTCTAGAAGGTCTTTTCTTGTCCTGTGGAAATCTGGCTGCCCCTTTAGAGTCCATCTCATTACTCCAGCAAAAATCACCTGCTCCCACACCAGTTCCCATGGTCCTTGCCCAGTACGTTGCTGTGTCTGTTAAGCCTGGTCTCGGACCATCTGTGATAGAATTACCCAGGATTCTTATTAAAAACATATATTTCCAGGGGCGCCTGGGTGGCTTAGTCGGTTAAGCGTCCGACTTTCGCTCAGGTCATGATCTCGCGGTTCGTGGGTTCGAGCCCCGCGTCGGGCTCTGTGCTGACTGCCAGCTCAGAGCCTGGAGCCTATTTCAGAGTCTGTGACTCCCTCTCTCTCTGACCCTCCCCTGCTCACGCTGTCTCTCTCTCTCTCCTAGAAATAAATAAAACATTTAAAAAAAATTAAAAAACAAAAACAAACAAACAAAAAAGAACCATATATTTCTGGGTCTTACCCTTACCCAAATAAATCATTCTTCAGTGTTGGGCCTGTGATTCGTTATTTTTAATGTGAAATGTTGACTAGATAATGCATTTATGTGGTCTAGAAATCAAACAATATAAATAAATTTATGCACTACGAGCATGTGAAAAGATGTTCGGCACCATTAGTCATTAGGGAAATGCATTTCCAAATCTCTATCAAATACCACTTCACACCCACTAGGATGGCTAAAAAAGACAGACAATAGCACAGTAGCAAGTATTGCCATGGATGTGGAGGAACTGGAACCCTCAAATATTTCTGGTAGGGTGTAAAGTGGTACAGCTACTTTGGAAAAAATAGTTTGGCAGTACCTCAAAAAATTAAACATAGAGTTACTATCTGGCCCAGCAATTTCATTTCCAGATATATACTCATGAGAAGTGACAACATACATCCACACAAAAATCTGCACACAAATGTTCATAGTAGCATTACTTACAGTAGTCAAAAAATGGAAACAACCCTATGTTCACTAACTGATGAGTGGATAAAAATGTGATGTGTTCACAAATGGAATATTATTTGTCAGTGAAGAAGGATACATACTTCTACATGAGTGAACCTTGAAAATATGATGCAAAGTGAAAAGCTAGTCATAAAAGACCTCAGAGTGTATGATTCCATTTATATGAAATATCCAGAATTGGCAAAGCCATTAAGACCAAAAGTAAAGTAGCACTTGCCAGAAGGAAATAGGAAGTAATTGTAATAGGTATGCAGTTTCTTTTTGGGAGTGATAAAAATATTCTAGAATTATAGGGGTTTGAGCCCTGCATCAGTTTCTCTGCTGTCAGCACAGAGCTCACTTTAGATCATCTGTCCTCCTCTCTCTCTCTGACCCCGCCCCCCCCGTTCTATTTCTCTCTTTCTCTCAAAATAAATAAATAAACTTAAAAATATACAAATGGCCATAAAGGAAGGGCAATGAGTGAAAGGCATGATCATTTAGAGCAGCGATTTGTAACTGCTTTTGTGCGGTGGGCTTCCTTGGCGGCCTGGGGATCCCTTCTCAGAATGAAGTTTTTAAATGCACAAAATAAAATATATAAGATTACAAAGAAAGCAAATTGTATCAAAATGAAGCTCTCCGATTTTTAAAAAATGTAGGCAGTGAAAACTCCCACTCTCAACCCTGCTCCACATCTTCCCAGGTCTCAACCCAGTCTGCCTGACTCCACCCAACAAAGGAAACCCTTTGTGTTTGTTGTAATGTTATTGTATGTATTTCCAGAGTTTAAGCACACAAGAAACGTAAAGTCATATTCTTATTTTACCCTTTTTAAAATACAGAGGCACTGTATTATACACACTATGAAAGATCTTGCTTTTTGTTTTCACTTAACAATATATCTTGGAAATTTTCCCCAGATCATCCTCACTTTTTTTTTTTTTTGGTAGCTTCCTAGTGTTATTCCATTATATGAATACAAGATAATTTATTTAACCTGCCTCTCTTCTAGGATATTTGGATCATTTCCAATATTTTGCTATTACAAACATAGCTTCAGTTAATAACCATATACACATACCATTTCATTCATGGGCAAGTAGATCTATAGTCTGGAATCCCAGAAGTGTATTGCTAGGTCAAAGAATATATGGTGTCTGTAATTTGGACAGATCTGATCACATTGCATTCCACAGTAGTGAGGTCAATTACATTCTCTCCAACAATGTGTGAATATGTGTGACCCCTTGCTTTCCCAGCTTTGCCAACAACATTTGCTAGTCTGATGGTTGAAGAATCACATCTCTGAGTACTTTTGTGTTATATTTCCATTTCTTTCTTTTTTATTTCTGTAAGTGGGATTTAAATATCTT